GGCACACAATGTCTGATTAATTAACATGGAGGAAAGAAAGCCTCTCCAGTGACCAGCCAAGCAATACTAAAAACTCATCTCTCCTGTAAGCTCCCTCTATTCTTGGTCTCCATTTCATCATTCTGACTCAAATTTCAGGAGAGCATGTTTTTTTCTCTTCGTGTACTCTGTGAAGTAAGACGAGTGCAATCTATATATGCAAGCTTAAATATGTACTGTATGTAGTTTATAAAGCAAAACATTTTTCAATGCGTAGAATTTTGGCTGTCAAAAGAAGCCTAGCCACCTCTACACTATATCGTACTTTGTGTTACACTTACTAGTATCTCACAAGGACACTTGTGGATTGCTATAAAGAAGAAAAGATTCACTTCAAACATATTTGTCCTCCCTTAGGACACACACAAAAAGAAGGAAGAGTGCAGTAGAGCAGCAACTTTGTCTTTTTTAAATAAGTGGCAACATTTTGTAAGTGTTACCAATCCGGCATTTGATTATTCATTTTAGTTTGATAACACCACTGGAAGGAGGAGATACTGTCATCTTGAGCGTGGTCTTACTTGTTTATTTATTTATACAGTATATAGAATGCACTGCAGTATACTGTGAATGTGTATGCTTCCCATATGTTTTGCCTCCCCATATACAAAGCAGGCAGGTTGAAAACTGTATTACTTACATCTTATTATGTATTACAGTATAGTATATATTGACAAAAAAGACTCCAGGGTTGAATCAATAGCTGTCTGATACAGTCTCAAAACATGCATCTGCTGCAAGGCCAATGCATTGGACTGCATTAGCCCATGAAAAAAATTGTGTTGTCTCCATTGTGCTATTAATTTCCTTTGGTTAGATGGTTCTCTGTCTTTCATTCTTGATGTTATTTGCTCTCTGCTTATCTTTCTCTCATGCAATACAGTACCTCTCTCTCTCAAGCTCACTCCACCCTGGTCTCTCCAGGCTGATTGTTTTCTAATTGGTGGAGTGCCAGAGGTCGTGGTTGTTATGGTAACCTGCAAGGGGCACTTGGAAGGGTTAGATGTTGGTGGTAGTGGTTGGGTGAGGGTGGGAGGGGGCACCCACTCAAGAAAACGGAGGGCAGCACTCATGCAAGGCTTGGGTGGTCACTTCAGAAAATGGACTCTGTGTGTGTGTGTTTGACATCCTAACTACCTCAGTTTTGTACGTGCAGCTAAGTGTGTGAGTGCGCAAAATAGTTGTAGAGAGAGGACGAAAGGGAGTGAGAGAAATAGTATGTGTTTGTGTGTGTGTGTGTGTGTGTGTGTGTATGCAGATGGTGGGCAAATAATCCTTCTCTCCACTTGAAAATCTTCTAAAGAGCTCCTTTGCTTGCATACTTTCTCTCTCCCACCCTGGTTCCCCTGCTACTTCCTTCACTATGTGAGCCACTCAGGCCCTCCAGTATGTCCATCTGTGTAGTGAGATGGAAGAGAGGCAGAGGAGCTGCAGGAGGGTGGACACCAGAAGAATCACAGACTATGTCCACACTCATTTCTTCTCTCCAATTTAGCACTCCATCAACTGAGCTTGAATTCAGAGAAAACAAGTATATAAAGGAAGACAACTTTCTTTTGCCTCCAACACACTCTGTGATCAATTATTTTGAGCTGATCACACAGTAACAGCGTTCATCTAATGACTTTGAGAGCATAAACTGGCGATGTAATTGATATCTCAGTGCAGGAGCGCAGAAATTAAAACAGCCTGCAAATGCTGTGGACACATATTGTTTTCACATTTCAAAATGAGATGCCTTATTATGGACGTTGTCTTATGTAAGGGACAATTACATAATGAATACTTACCTTTGTGGAAAGAGGCAGGAAGAAGAAAAAGTGATACAGTAGATTATTTGGGCTTGTGTGAGTGTGTGGTGTGTGTGTGTGTGTGTGTGTGTGTGTGCTTCTTCTACCAAATACATTCATGCCTTCATGTGTGTGTAATCTTTACCAAATGTGTGGTGTGTGTGTAATGGGTTTACTAAATGAGACTGCATTAAACTCTCCCATGCATAAGGAATTGAGCTGGCTGTGCCCTTTAGAATTAAAGGTGGTGGGCTGGTTGAGAAGCAGACTGTGTTATATATTACTGTGCTGTGTGGTTAAATAACTGCCCTTCTATAATAGAGCTGTTTAAAGCAAACCTCTAATAAAAAACAAACAAACAAAAAAACACTCACAAACATAGACACAAATGCACACATGCAGCCAGGCACATAAATGTGTGCTGGAGAATATAATGGACTATTTAAAGATCTATATAAATTGCCACACACTGCTGCCCTTGTCAGGTGGCTGAGGAAACTGACATGATGTCTGAAATACTGCAAAGACGATGGAACTGTTGTGTGCAAACTTGTTTATGTGAATCCTTCCTTGGAAAACTTAAAAAAAAGCAAATTACTCACAGCTTTTGACAGATTCAAGCATTATGTTCAATTACTGAGCGCACATTCATCGTAGCAGATATGAAAGAATAGTGTCTGCATTTATGAGCTTTTTTTAGTGGTTGGCCTCAGACTCCAGTTCCAGAGTAAAATCACTATCAGGGCTTTTAAAATTAGTGGAGGTGCACAAGTACTTACAGAGCAGACTGCTTGGGCGAGCAAAGGCAATAAAAAAAAAAGCTGATACAGAATCAGTTCCACTCTGTGTTACTGACCAGAAATTAAAGGTGGCACTATTGAAAGAAAACCATAGTGGTATAATCAGATGTATTAATGAAAGGAAAAAAAAAACAAATAATTTAAGATGAAAGTTATTTGAATTATAAGAAGATATCGACTTCTTAATGCTACCATAAAGTGAAGGTAGCAGCCAAATCTAAATCAAGCATAATGAAGTGTCCTGTTCATCCATATCTTTAATTTAGAAACAAGACCTACTGAAATGTATCATTATGTCCACTGACTGAGGAATCTGGTGATTTCTAGAAGCCCAAATGGTTTTCAGGGCAGGGTGCAAGTCAAACGGGGCAGCCTAATTTCAGCCGATGGCATGGTTTTACCCCTTAAATTATCATCATTATCCAACATTATCAAGGACGAGGCAGTGCCTGTTTTTTTTTACCCATATTTAATATCCATGACTTGCTTTATAACAGACTGCAGTCTATCTAAATCTTATTTTCAGTCTGCATGGAAACACAACTCTGTACATTTGTGAGCATATGTAGTTGCTGAGGTGCTGATGGAATGGAGTCCATAGCGATTTTGTTTATCTCCGTCTCCCACATGCATACCACAGCTCTGGCCTCCCTTGACACACAGTAACACAGAGTCACACACACACACACACACACACACACACACACACACACACACACACACACACACACACACACACACACACACACACACACACACACACACACACACACACACATCGCTGACACACTACCTTCTTTTTTTGGCACCATCGATTATTGTCAGCCAATACCTGGACTTCCTCTTGTCTGCATCATCAGGTTTCAGGAAGTGATGATAAATGAATAGCACTATCTGCCAGGACTGCTGCGGCCATGGATATAGGTTTCCAAAATCCAGACATCCTTACACTCGTTATTCTTCTTTTAAGGAAGAGAATAGAGGGTAAAACTAAATAAATATTGAATAAATTAAACTGAATAGCCACAAATTAGCACTGTGTCAACAACTGAGATCAAGTACACCTTTCGGAAGAGCCCATGCCAGATCCATATTGATCCATCTAGTTATGGGTTTGCTGAAGAAAGTAGTAGTATCTTTCGACGTTATAAAATGAAACATCAGCTCATAACATATCACGTTTGCACAAAAACCAAAATACTTAAATATATTTATATTACAGTCTACTGTGATTAACATATTTAACTGTACATACAATAATGAATTGCACCTTTAAAGCCCAAGCAAACTACGAATACTTACATAATCTAAATTATAATTGTTGAAGCATTTACTTATATTTACTTTGAGACAGTGTTTCCCTCTTGGTCTTAGTATAGCTTTGGAAGAACCTAGCACTGCCTTTATATCCCAGTCTTGGATTGGCTAAAACTTAACTATGGTTTGAACTTGATCCCCTTGGACATTAACAAAACATTTGGCAATCTACTTCTAATAAAAATCTAGAAGTCTAGCTTAGAAGCCAAGGTCAAATCAGTTTTGACTTTCCATAATAAAACACAATTTATGCAGATCGGAAACAATATGAGAAAGACACAGTGTCAGAAAACATCCCTGTGAAGCCTGGAACTGTCCATCAAACAGATTTACTTCTTGCATGAAGACAGTTACAGAAATAAGGTGGATGTGTGTCTGTGTGTGAGAATATCTGTACTGGTAGATATATTCAGAGGTAAGTGAGCTGTGACTGACATAATAAAGGTAAGGAGTAAGGATTGTGGAGCTGAGAGGAACACAATGAACCTTGCAGTGATTTTTTTTCCCACCGCTGGAATACACACAACACACAACACACACACACACACACACACACAGTATGTATGTCAATAGGCAAGTGAGTACACAAGCACTCATATTGAAGCTCAAAGCAAGCACAAACAATTCAATCTTTTTTTTTTGTCTGTCTGTTTCTTGCTTTCAACCACACAGACACAGACACAGACACACACACACACACACACACACACACACACACACACACACACACACACACACACACACACACACAAACTAGCTTGTGGCAGATAAACCTGATTTAGACAGCTGAGGTGAAAAGAGAGGGAGAAATATGAAGCATCAGCAAGATAATATTGCGCCGTGAAACTGAAGAGGGACGGGAGAGGAAAGGAGCAGAAACCTGGGAGCTTCCCTCCCAGGCCTTCCTCCGCCGGGCCTGGTATACTTTATAAGATATTTTCTAGGTTTGAAATTGAATTTGTTTTGTGTGCCACTGTGTGTCAAACTACTGAACCAACACTGCTGAAAAACACTAACAATAACAACTGGTCAGAGAAGAGTCATGGTGCCTTACCTATCATTGGCATTAGCAGAGACAGGAGGAGATGTTGTCCCAGCTCCCCTTGGTTTGTTGACCTTGGCATACAGCCTATCAAGGGGGTCATCATCAGGCATGGCTACAGGGTCGTTACCATGTATTCCATGGCCTGGAAAGGCAGAAGGGCCTTGGGGGGAAGGGGTGCGGGCATGGGTGTGCTGAATTGTGCTGTACGGGGGTGACTGAGACAGTGGCTGTGGCATTGGACACATATTTCGGTCCCTGAAGGATTGTATTCGGGCATAGTTGGGGTCCGCGTCGTCATCCTCGACATCTGGATATGCCGACCCGCCGCTGCCTAATTGCTGGTCTCTGGGCCGGTGCTCTCGCAGCTCAGGGTGCCCGGCTTCGATTCTGACAGACAGATGGAGAGCCAGTTAAGACGAAAAACAACTTTCGTAAGTGGGCAAATGATGACTGAGTTACAACAAGGTCTACCACAAAGAAACATATTCAAACAAACCACACAGAGGCATGCTGTTAGCATAGAGCTCAGGAATGACAAGCATGGAGTAGAGAGGGAGAGAGAGAATAGAGGGAATGGAAAGACTGAGGAGCAATAAGAGAAAGGAATGGCAGAGATGTTAATGAAGTGGTTTCAATGTATTCCATGAGAATTATAAGTGAACAATCATCCTTAACTGAGGAGGAAAACAAAAGATGGTTACAGACTTTTCTTCAATGAGAAATGAAAACTTATAAATATTCACAGTATCCGAAACTGAATGTCTGTGAATTTAAAGCATCAAAAAATCATCATCATCATCATCATCATCTCATCTCAAGAAAGTTCCCCACCTTTCCCTCTCATCTTTCATCCTCTCGAGCTCATGATCACTCAGAATGTCTGACTTCTGTCGCTGCTGAGCTGCTTTCGCCTCCTTCTTCTCCTCTTTTTTCTTCCCGAATCTGGACAGAGAGAGAAGCAGTTATTAGAAACAATAAGAAAGTTTAAAGAAAAACACATTAATTCAATAACTCTGTATGGGGGTTTTAACAGCCTTAAGTGGGATGTGGTGCTGTGGAAGCAGATGAGGAATAAACACCACATTAACACCGTCCTTACAACAAACACACATGGCTGAAATCATGGACATGCAAAACGCAGTGGCATGAACGCAGATACGCACACTGTGTTATTCAGTGAGAGAGCTTCTAGCACAGCCTGTAAATCAGAGTCAAGACCAGTAGACACTCTCTCACCTCTCACTCACAGACACATACATAGCAAGAAACACACACACACACACACAAGGAGAAATCCAACTGAACCTCTTCCTGCACCGCTTCTCTTGGCAGTTTACTTTTAGAGCTAGTTGTGGTAGATACCCTTAATTGTAAGCAGCTGCCATTGCTAAACTCAACCACTGCCCTGCAGCTAACACTATAGTGAATCCACATTTAAATTGAAAGGCACCCAAAACTTCCTCTTTGAAATTAAGAATGCATATAAGTAGTTCCATAATTTAGATAGAGGGAGACTATATGTAGAAGCCTTCACTTAACACTGTATGTACTCTATACAGCTTAATCTAAATTAAAAGATGGCATACAAACGATAGGCTAAGAGGCCCATTTTAAGTGGCCACATATCAATACTCAAACCACACCAGTCAATACAGTTGGAGTGTGGTCAGCATCAACAGCACACTCAGCACTACTGGACACTGGACAAGTCATTACCTGGAGAAGAGCATGAATCACGCACAAATGCACACACCTGACTAAACTTCATAACTAAATGTGAATGAACCATCGTGGCTTCAGATTTTGTGGACACAAAAGAAACAAAAGCATTTGCAGGTGAATCTGTGGATCTGTGTCTATAGGGCAGTGAGAGAAACACGTACAGTGTTGTGAGAAATCAGTACTGTTGTGTTCATATCTGTTTTTTCCTTTATCAAGAGCCATTCAGAGGTTAAAAATGATATAAGCTCTTATAGCTAAAAATTCAACATTACTACTCATTAAACTTTACACCCCAGAAGCGATACAGTGAGCAGGATATGGTTAATTGAGCCACTCAAACCTGCTAAATAGTTAATATCTCCGACATGCAAACCGTGACCTTATAACACTCCTTATGTTTTATTTATGTAGTGAATTTATTGATGTATTATTCTTTTTGTCTACACTTCCACAGCGTCAAAAGTGTGTAGATTTGTTGGTGAATGCTTTGTAGTTTAGCCTGTGTATGTCTGTGCATTGCTGTAGTTTTAAAAAAAAAAAAGCAGGTGTAGTGTGTGTGCACTAAGGTAATATGTTTCTTTGAAATTCTTAATGTGGACTGGGGGCTAAAGAAGCCTATTCACCGCCCACAGAGGGGGGGCTCAATGGGCAATGAAGGGTTGTAACCGTGTGCATGCATTAACAGTGGGAGTGTGTCTTTGCCTCACAGGGGACAAGCCTTGCTCTAATTACTGCTACCGACAGAGTTAGAGGCTTACCCTTTCCTTCAACTCTCTCTCTTCCCCCCACTTACCCCTCTTTCACCTCGCTTGCTTTTTACTTTTTCCTCCGTTTTCTTACCTCATCACTCTCTTCCTTTTTTCTCATTACAATCATTCCTGTTTCTTTCTAACTTACCTCTTTCCATCTTACCTCCCCGTCACCCCTTCATCTCGCTGTCTCATTTGGCATGTCACCCCTCGGTATCAAACACTTCTCTCAGAACACTTAACCTCTCCCATCCCCTCCTTTCCTCTCTTCTATGCTGTCATACCAGTTTCCCCTCTTGGTAGATACTAAAAAGATGAAAAAGAAATTCAAGCTAAGGCTGGATTTTATATAGTTTCCATCACTTGAGAGTCAAAATATCTTAAAACCTAACCTTACACACTCATTACCGTTTACAGAGAAGAGCCAATACACAAAACCCATAAACTGAAAAACGATATGGATGGAGAAAGGTAAGGCAAAACTTGAGTCGTGTGAGATGAACGACAGCCCCAGATGTATCCAAAGGCCAAATGCAGGGCCTCTTTTGGACTACTTTTGCCGCTTTAATGCCATATCTGTAACATGTTATGACACATGAAGCAATCAAACATAATAACATCGTTAATGTAATGATGAGAGGCCATTAATTGCTTTCATTTATGAGGGGAAGATTGAGGAGCTTGAGTAAATAAATACACTTGTGTTTTTAAAATTAATGACTAAGATTAACAATAATATTGATCCATGAATTTGGCTTTTTAATTCTGAATACTAACCTCAGAGACTAACCCAATAGCAATATATATGTGGATGTTAGACTAATGTGGTGGATACAGAAAAGTAACAGGGGTACACAAAAACATATATTTCAACTTAGAAATGAGTGCAAATTGTAACTAATGCTTTTAACCTTTCCTTCTTTCTCTCCCTAACTAATTGCTTGCGTTCATTTGTGAGGATGTTTCCCTCATGGGGTCAAGTTTCATAGAGAAAACTCATTAAATAAAAAAGCAACCATCTGTAACTCTGTTTGATTTACCTACATTTAGCATCAAATAGAAAGGACAATAACAGTGAATGAGGTACAGAGGGAAGAGAAAGCTGTACAAAGATAATGGATACCTACAGCTTAATTAGGCCAACTCTCTCTCTCTTCAGACAATTTTGATAACTTATTACTGGGCTATCGAGGGAGGCAACGTGCACGGATGCACACATACACACTATATATAATCAGAAACACAGAGGACTTAGATATACATCAATTAAATAAAAAAAAGTGCGTGTCTTTTTCTGTGTGTGCATGTGGCCTTTTGCATGTGAGGGAGGAAGTAATATAAATAGAAGGCTTCACACTTGAGATGCTACGGCAATGCAGGGAAAAGAAAGAACCAAAGAAAGACAAAGAAGAGAAAAGTCTGTCCGCTGCCTCTGCCTTCAGGCTGAGCACAGAGGGTGACTGGGTCAATACTCAGCTGAGCGTCTTTGTCTTTGTACATGGACGCATTAGTAAAGAGAACAAGAAAATGTAAGTAAATGGGAAGTAAATTGGCCTGTCTTGTGATGTCATGACACTCACCCATGACCTTTTCCCCCCTCTCTACACCTTTGTGTTGAGCAGTTAAATCACAAACTATTAGCTAAGTGTCACCACAGCATTTAAAAACTAAAATGGAGGTAAGAATAATTGTCCTAGTTTTCTATTTCAAGTTGTTTTTTGCTTCTTTTATTTCTATGATGCATTACTAAAAAGCGGAGTTAGAGTTTAACAGGCACATCATACACACGTATGTATATGTAGCCTGGACACCCAGAAGATGTTTTAAAACTTACAAGTTGCGTCATTATCGCTTGGGCATAATTTCTTAAGGAATATCAGAGTAAGAACAGCTGATTAACAGCCAGTTAGGATGAATAAATTACCTCTTGTTCTTCAGTAGGAACAGAATGATCACTCATGAATATTCATGACCTAACACCGCAATCTGTATGGAAAGTGTATGACTACTCATTTGCATTCGAGAAAGATTTAATTATAAATATATACCCAGGTTTCTTAAAGCTTCCATCTGTAGGGAAAGGTAGGATGAAAAGAAAACATTCAATCATTCAAGTCCGATGTCTGACCAAGGGCAAAAAAAGGTTTCTTTGGGAATTATTGTTTCTTTTCATGGTCGATTTGGTTGAGCTACCAAATTGTTGTATGTACCACCACTAAATCTGTACATAATATATCCTCATAACGTCTTACTGATTACTTACTGACTGCAAAATCTAGAGGATGACTAAACTTCTCTCACTCTGTTCCCAGCCAGTACTCTTAAAGAGATTAAATAGATTCTTAAATTGAATAGATTCAGCTTCATTGAACAAAGTTCAAATATTTCAAAAACTTTTCTGCACACATCACCACCACAGATGGCCAGAAAGAGTCACTTTAAGTTCAGTTTAGTTTGCCAAAGACAGGTGTAGGTTATCATAAATTATATGCTTGTTTAAAACCTTGATTTCTGTATGTAGAAAGCACTAGAAATAATTGATGATTTAACCTGCACCTATTCTAATCTTGACCTTAAACCAAACATTTTTAGATGAGCACTGGCCAGGGTGACATTGCTTGGTTAAACATGAGTATAAAACTAAAACAGGTTCTGACAATAAACAACTATGACCCCCACACCCACAGCCACACACAGATACATTTATATGCACACAGACGTGCTACTTGGAATGATGAGCAGTGAGTGTTCAGAGGGCTGTTTCACACTTGTGCTTCTGAATAGTCCATGAGGAGAAAAGCGTCTGACAAACGAGCAGAAAACGAGTGCAAACATCTGTGACTCTCACTTCACCTATTCTTTCTATTCTTCTGCTGTTCTCCCACTTCCTCCCTCTGCCACTCCACGGACACGCCTCCCTTTGCTATCACTGGCAAATAGATCACTGAGAAATCAGACGATTGACAAGTGTGCTGCGATAACGAGCACACGCGCAAACGAACATACATGTAAGAAGACAGACACTACGTAAGGAAACACACATTCAAATGCAAGCGCACACGCACAGATGATTGGCAGGCATGACATAAGTCTGTGACACCCCAATGACTTCCTGTCATGATGTTTGATTGGCAGCTGGTGGGCCCTTCCCCCCTTTTCAAGCATGTGCTGTCTAATTATGAAACAATGACAGGCAATGTCTGGCCAAAAGACAAGGTTTTTCCTGCATAAAGAACTTGAAACAGCCTCCTTGCACAAACTTTGCTTTGCCTTTACCCAAACCTGACTATGTTGTTTCACTGCTATGTAGATGAAAAGCAGACACAACCGACTGATATGCTAGCTGATCAAAAGAGCTATGAAATGCATTAAAATCATCTCATCTCGTTACATTTCTCTTTTAAACTGTATAAGTATATATTTTTTCTATTTTTATTTTATTTTGTAATGAAGTTTTGTAATCTTTCTATATGTTTCCATATTGTTACGCTGCTAAATAGTATGAAATACTGTTTCTATAATGCAATCCTTTTTGTTCTTTGAATAAAGAGAAGGGGAAAAAAAAGATATTCTAGATATTTCGCAATGACCGTTAAAAGAAACCCGACCATGAAGATTGGCTAATAGTCCCAACAATGGAGCCATCTGAGTCTAACAGAGGTGCCACATTATGATCAGCTGGAGAGAGAACAGGAAAAGAGGGAAAGACGGAAAACGGGGGTAAATATCGAGGAGAGGTAAAGAAAGGGTGCGGAATCAAAGAAAAAGAGGGTGATGTAATTCTAATTTTTGTGCTTTTTTTCCTGTTCATACAGCTTTGGTTGGTGGCTACATTCTATGTTCAACATATATTCTGAAAAACATTTTCTTATGAAAGTAGATTATTCAGCTCGTAGTCAGCTCATGCAAAAACACATACATATGCGTGGACAAAACAGAGCAACGGAGGATGGATGGAGGTACAGCAGTGCACGATTACAACCAAATAGACAACCATGCATTTATTATCATAGATTCTCATAAATTCACACCAGTTTAAATCTGAAAATGAACAGCATGTACACATACTTTACAACACAAATCAACAATCACATAAACATGATGCACTGGCAACAGCAGCGCCAGTCCCTCTTCTGGTAGATCTTGTACATTCCCAGTCTCACCTAATAGATTACCATATTTTCATTTGTACAGGCCGTCTCTCTCCCTCCACACACACACACGCACACACACACACACACACACACACACACACACAGATGACAGAACAGCTCGGAGAACCATACTCTCAACCCATGTTAATTATGTTTGTAGAGCGTTAAGTTATGGTAGTAGGTATGTGCGCGGGTGCAATATGAATGTTCAGATGGTTGTCAGATTTGTTTCAACCTTAGATGTCTGAGCAAGGGAGAGAAAAGATACACAGATCTGAGAGGAACAAAGGGTCACACAACTGCAGAAAATTTGGAGACAACATGCATGCACACACGCACAGTGTCTGAGGAAGATTCACAGCAACCATGTGCCAACTGTATGACAACCATCTGACTGTGTGACCAATCGTGTTTTATCACCACATGAATATTCATGATGGTAGGATGGTTACCACCACACACACACACACACACACACACACACACAATCACACACAGATGATTGGCATATCTGATTGGCAGGTGGCAGCAGTTCAGATGACAGAGCCAGCTGTCCATTTTAAAGGGCATTTCAAACAAACATTCAGAGTCTGACTTTAATGTCTGGCTTCATAATGTGGATGAAACATTACAGTAATTACATTGAACCTTTCTACACTTCTACACCCTCTCTTAATTAATGTGAAAAAGTAAATTGTTATCCAGCCTTTTTGGCAATTACTATTTAATTTGAAAAAAACATTGAAGAGAGTACTACAGTACACTAAGTAATACATTTACTATTGGAAAATATGAATGTGTGTCTTTGCAGCTGGTGCCTGGATAGAAACATAATGTAGTATTTGGTATAGAGATCTTGTGTGTCAAATATGTGAACCAACCAGTGATCAAAATGAACATATACTACTGTAAAACCACAGACCTTGGAGTAAGGCTGAGTATCTCAAACCACCTCTCCTCCAGGCCATTAGGCCAATCAAAGCTGGCCTTAGATGAATATGACAAATCAGCAGCTCGGCCTAGATTGAACTGTACTGAATAGCACCAATTTGCCTTCTCAGTCTACCACCATTACATGCAATCAAATGCAGATGGGGAGCTGGGGCTGGAGGGAGCAGACTGAGAGGAAAAATTGGAATGATGCAAAGATTACGGGGCGGGGGGGAACGGGGGAGAAACGGAGAGAGGTTACAGGAGTATGGAAAGAAAGAGGGGAAGGAGAAAAAAGGTGGAATTATCACTGGGCTCTAATCAAGGCCCTCTTATGGTGATGAGAGATGGGGTGCAGAGGAAAGGTCTAATATATCCTTGGGTGTATTATATGGTTTCTTAAGGCACTTAAGGCAAGACGTGATGGGGGAATTGGTGGTTAGATGAAAGGATGGATGGAGGGATAGGTGCAGGGAAGTGGTTGGATTTTACTGTAGATATTCTTGGTTGTGCTGTGTAGGCTGTCCAGACCATAATCAAACTGAGCGGTAGATAGGGAGAAAAGAGATGGGTGAGCACAGAAAGAAGGAATCAGGCATAACCTTCCCTGAACTCTGAAGCACTTAAAACATTGCTAAGATGGTAAGAGAGAGTGAAGGGGTGAAGGAGGTGAAAAAAAAGATATCTTTAGGTGTGTCATAGATTGCCCTGGAGCTGTAATGGAAAAGGAGGAGAATTGTGGGAAAGACGGAGGCGGAGAAGGAATGATGGAAATCCTTGGGTATGGTGGGTGTGAATTTATAAGAATATATCACATTGTGCCACCAAAGATCCATTGGTTATACATAGCTTGCATATTAGTACTCGCTAACGGCACAAAACACAAACTGGGAAGAAGACCACGAAGGACAAGAATGAGTCCAAATCTACACCAAATCTATGCTCATATTCGACTGTCACGACATACACGACTGTCTTGAAATGCATCTAAACTTCGAAGCACAGAACGTCTTTACAGGTGTACTATTTTGGAATATGTAATAATGGTGATAAACAAGGCAGCAAGGAATAAGCTAGTTTTGATTCATCTGAATCACCTATGGATTTTAAAACTTACCATAAAACCAACCACAGTGAGCGTGAGGGAAGCACTTTCAGACACTCATTTGTGCGCCACCAGAATGTACAACAGCAGTGGAGACCATAGGCATCAGACTGGCCTTATAAAAATGCCCAAGGGAGCTTATTCATAAATGTTGAACTGCTGTCAGATTAATGTAAAGAGTTACACGTCTGTAAGGCGCTTGAGCTTCTGCTGGATCTGTTGCTCCATCTGCGTCAGCTCTCTCCCCTGCTACAAGTAGTGGTGCCTTGCATATATTTATATAAGTTGTATTTTCTGTTGTGTCACTTATTGTATCTTTCCATCTCTTGTTCTTTTGATGTTAAGGTTGCTTAAATAGACGGCAACAGGCCTACAGATTAGATCTATCATGCTTTAATAAGTAGTGGACCATTTTTCTCAAGTTGAGTTGAACTGCGGTTGAAGCTTGGAATGATTTATATTGACTTTAAAAGTCAGTTTACCCAATTCATAAAAACAAATATTTTCTGACTTACTACTGGTGGTGTTGCCATGCGGACAATTTTCATTTATTTTCACTTGCTTTACGATGTCAGTTGACAATGGAATAAAATGGAGCTAATGTGGTGTGATGCATTGCAAAATTTATTTAGAAAAACTCAACAGCAATGTCTGTTTATAGAAAACCCCCCAAATAATCCACAGACCTTGTTATGGACTGTTTTCAGTATTTCTATCACAAGAAAAAAGGACATTTATTACAAGGTCTCTCTTTCTTGTGAGGCTTGAATAATTGTGTAATAAAGCTAAATGTCATTTGAAAGAATAAGGACTCTAATGGCCATTTATTGAAACTGACACAATTTTGTAAGTTGCACATTGTGCAATTATGGTTTGAAGTGGCTAAAGGGTTTCACCTCAGGAGGAATTGAAAGAGATGCACAGTAGAGGCGGGTATTTAAGTCAGTAGGTACTGTAGGTCTGACACTGAACTAAAACTACAAAAACAATAAGTAGGTGAAGAAGGAAGGAACATACTGTACCGTACACACCACATACCTATTTCTATCCACCCTCCCATCCAGGTATAATGAGCCATTTACACACACAACTGTATGACAAATATAGCATTTTAACATCATAAAACAAATGTTTCTCTTCAACATAGGATGATATCTTTCTAATGGCTAAATACTATAAGTATGAGAGAGCGAAAGCACATTAAAGTGAGGAAAACAAGATGGAAAATAGGTGAAGAAAAAGGTGGAGGCTTTCAAAGAATCAAGTAAAATTAGTACATATTAGTCTAATTGCCTAATATTTCACTTTAAATAACATGAAATTCTCAGATTGAATCACTGTGATAAAATCTGACTTTGAAATCTGGAAGTGTTTTTCCGTGTTCTGGTTCACACAGACTGCTTTTGTAAGTGTATTTTAAAAGACTGCGCCTGTATTTTGTAGATAAAATTGCATGCGAGTGTTTTTCTTAAGATCTGTATCAATGTAATGGTCATGTGAAATCCCATTTCAGAAACAAACATGGAGAAAAAACCTGATATTAAGTAGGAATTAAGGTAGAAAGCGCAAATTGTTCATTGAAACACTTCGCCCCATTCATGCTGTGTGTCTAACTATGTCCTATTCACACTGGAAGATATAGTGTTAAAGTTAATCACATGAAATAGTTCCAACAGATAATTTCCACACCTCTTAGGGAAATTGGGGCACCACTCTTAGAGTGGTCTTTGTGTGCCTGTGAGCATGTGATAGTGTTTCATGAGTGGAAAAAAAGACCTCAGTGTTCATGTTTAAGGGTTATTTTTGTCTGATATAGTACGAATGCATGAGGTGTGCACAGATTGTATTGAATTATGTGCCCTTGTGGGTTAACCTGTTAATGACCACTCGGAAAATTAAGACACATGTTAAGCATATAACGACTATATTATTTGTGTTAATTCATATTAAAAATGTAAAAACATGTAGAAAAAACTTGACTATGGATTCCATATGACACCAAACAAAATATTGCTGTCTAAAAAAATCTCTCAAACACACACTAAGATTTATTTTACCAGGTAGTATAGGTATGATTGGTCATGATCAAATGCATGCTTAAGACCAGTAATAATAAAAAAAAAAAACACCTCAACTTCTTCGTCTCTCTTTGTCTCACATGCACACAGTTACTAACCTCAGCAGGCCAAAGCCTATTTTCTTGCTTTTCTTCTCCGTCTCCTCAGGCTCCTCTGCTTTCTTTTTCTCTTTTCCCTTCCCCTTGTTCTTTTCCTTCTTCTTTGTTTTCGCTTTCTTTTTCTTTTCTTTTTTGCCTTTCTCCTCTATCCGATCCCCAACTCCCTGGCGGGATGAACTACTGGCAGGGGTGTCCCGGCCTGAACTCGGCTCCGAACCATCATCTGTAGGGAACAGAAGAAGAAAATGAGAAAGATGGGAATTGTGTCTGTGAAGAACTGTGTTTTAAAGAGTAGAAAAATCAGTAGTAAAGAAAACAACTGCATTTGGGTGTTTCCACTTCCATCAGTTTGTTCGATTTTGTTACCTCAATTAAACTTAATACTTACTCACATTGATCAACATAAACAATTGTCCCTGACAAGTTAAAGTAATACATTTTTTGTAAGATGCTTTATGGAAGTGCTAAACTTAGACTGTGAAAGATTTATCACTGAAATCCTGATTAAAATGATTCTAATAAAACTTAATTCCACTTAGATGACAATGAATAATGATAGTGGCATTAGGATTTACCATGTTACCACGTTAACCACCCAGCTAACAGCTAAATGGCTAATATGTAATTCTAAAAAGTCCCAAGAATCATTTTCATTTATTCTTTTGGCAAACACTTCTGTCCAAAGCACTTTCCTGCCGGTTCAAGGTAAGTAAGGACTCATTATTTTGTATTTACATACCGTAATGCTGAGTCTATGGCATTGTTAGGAATCATCAGTGCCCTTCTAAATTTCAAGTAAACATGAATAAGAATAATTTCTGTAAAGACTGAGTTCCAGTGGCTCATTTCCATTGAGTTTAGGCATTTAGCTAAAGCTCTCTTTGAGTGACTCATTATAGCAGTAAAATCAACTAACATTTGCAAAATCCCACAGTATAACATAACACAGCGAAAACCACATATCAGGTTATAACACAAACATGAGCACACAAATAAAAACAAAATATTACGTATCCCGAATGAACAGCCCCCATGCACACAGGCACATAAACATAACATAAACTTTCTCTACTTGACATCTCCAAGGCAGATTTATTAACTTTACAGTGAATTAATTACTCTTAGAAATAAGAAAGCAAAAATGTTCAAAGCGTAAACTGTGATGCCTCATTACTTCTCCAACAGACTCGAGGCTTGGCCTAGAATTACAATGATCTCACACGCACACTACTTACACACACACACACACACACACACACACACACACACACACACACACACACACACACACACACACACACACACTACTTACACAATACTTGTCAGATTTTATATGATAAGCAGACCAAATTAGTTACTTCAATTGAGATTTAACTTTGTGTGGATATTCACTTCAGCCTTAATTACAAAGACTGTCTAGCAACAGAATGGAATTGTAATTACGTTTGCCTGAAGATGCACGGCTTATGCAGAGAGAAAACTGAAAATGACCACAGCAGATATCCTTATAAAATCTTGGATATGGTCGGGATGGTCAACAGTTGCAGAGTTCAAATACTATCTATAAAAAACAAATACTCTTTCCCTCTTAAATTTGTTATTTAAATAAATTGCAGAGTCAGGAAAACCCTACATCTGTTTTACTGAATGTGTGCAGACCTCTGGTTTATTCTGACCCAAATGGAAAATTTGGTGAATCAAGGTTGGTTGGGTTGAAATTGGATGCGGTTTGCAGCAACGTGTAAGTAGCAATTTCTACTAAGTTTTTTATTTTTTCATTGTGCCGTCATAATAAGCCAGTCACTGGACAATCCCTTCCCTAACAAAAAATAAAAAAATAAAACTTTGGAGTATGTTATATTTTGCCAGTCAACCAACTCAGTCGTGTTTCATTTACTATTTCATGGCACAGAGCTCACCAAAAACAACCATGATATAGATTTCTTCTGTTTACATCTGATTCCCAACACTTGTAGGAATGGTGTGTGATTAGGGAGACACAAGGAGTATGAAAGAAAGACAAAGAGAAAGAGAAGGTTTCACATGCGAAGGTAGAACAACATGTGAAAAAAGACATGGAGAATGACAGGAACAACTATTCAGCACTATAATCCATCCCAGCTGACATGAGACATCAAAGCCAATGACTCAAAGCCTCTGTTGAATAGTCCTCTTGACAACTAAATTCACTGGAAATTGTGAAGCACTGTGGCATTAGCTGGATTCAGTGCACAATGCATTAGCTACACATGAACCCTGACTGAATATTCACTGTGCACTTACATAGCCAAAATGTTAGCAACGCTTGCCATCCTGCTAATCAACCTCTTAAAAACAGACAGACAGTAGTTGGTAAGCATTTCAATTTGACACTGAAGTGAAGATGTGATTTAAGGTCAAGCTAAAGTGTATGAATGAAAGAAAGAGACCTTCAGGATGCTTCAGAGAACTGTTCCTTGTCAATTAACAGCAGCTCTCAAAGTGTTAAACATTTAAAAAGATGGTGACAGATGTGGCCACTGTGTGTGTGTGTGCTGTTGACATGCCCTATTAGTCCTATCCTGTGTGAGCGTAGTGATCTGAAACAGCCCGACTCATTACTCTGGTGGTGACTGATAAGAGTTTGCTGCTAATAACACAGCTGGGAATTGAAAGCACCTTCCAGTGAAACAAAAGCAAGCAGCTACCATTTAGCCCCTGGATAAATATTTAAAGCTAAAGCCCGGATCAGAATTGAATCACATATTGAAAGACAATGCTACCGCTTTGTTTCATATGTGCTGACACTTGGCGTTCTCCTGGCAATGCCCTGGTCTTGCTTTGCTGGCGAAACTTGCTATTTCCTAAACAAATCAGAATCGACAGCTGCGGACCTAAACTGTGCTGAGCTCACTGGAGGGTTTTCAAAATAAAAGAGGTGGTTGTAGAGGCACTGAAGATATATGTAAACCATTAGATTTGAGTTATACAAACAAATCCTTGTCATTTGGGAAACGGCAACACATGGAGAGTGAAAGAATGGAAAAAAATCAAGTGATATACACATGCACATCCTAGGGTAGTCCTGTCACACTAAACCCTCAGTCAGGGATATCAAAGTAGGTTTTTAGGATTAATTGTGAAGAGAAAAACAGCTGCTGTGACATCACGGATTGGGGGCCCAAATGGAAACATGCTCAAATGTTTCAATGTGATTCAGTGCTGAATTTTACTTCTGTCTCTACCCCAAAATAGCATTTCTTTCCCTGCAATCTCCTTGTTTCTTCTATGCCAATGTAATTTACAGACTGAGTAATTGTATATAAAACATAGACACAAATGACAAAAATGACACATTTTTCCACTTACCATCATCATCTTCAGGTGGCCCATCATAGGATTTATCAATGGCTGCTCTGAAGCTCTCGTTGCAGCCTCTTCCCCTGACCATATTTTGCCGAGGACGGTGGAATGGGAGGAATTCGTTTTTTCTGTTAACCTCTGACATGGCCGTCTGGAGACTCTCCAACGAACTGGATTTCTTCAAGCCGAGGGTAGGTCCGAGTTCTATGGGAGTTGATGGAGCTGGGGGGGGGGACAGGGCGAGACACAGAAAAACAGACAGAGATATACAAAAGGTGAGGAATACTGTATGTTTCTGTTATATAGACTACAGTTGACTTGGTATGGTATGGTTTGGGCTCCTCAGTTGAGACCATCAGAATGCACAAACTGAAATTTATTATCAATAGATTAGCATATTTATTTGGGATAATAGTTTTATTATGATTCTACTAAAATGGCTATGACTGTGTTAATGCTATCAAAAATACTGCTACATTCAAAAAATGGGCAACCTCACGGATACAGAAGGTATCAGAAAGGCTGTCAAATAGGTTTACTCTGCTGTGCCTTGCTCTGATTGGTTTAAAAAGCCTGTGGAGACACTGGCTAGGAGTCAGAAAGACTGCGACATTAATGAACTCTAGAGGGCAGAGTGAGGGGGGAAAAAAAGGAAAAAAAAGGCAGCGATGCAGTTAACTATACTGTTGTTGAGTTTGTGATGGATGCGAAGTCTGCTTCACTGTTACTGGTTCTCCATCCATCATCACAAGTATACTGTGAAAGATATTACTGAGGGAGGGAGGGATCCAGCAGAAAGGATGATGAAGAGGAGAGCAATGGATGAGAAGACAGAGCAACAGTGGAAGTATTCAATGGAGAGTGAGGTAAAGATCAGACATGTTGTGAAGATAAGTTGCAAAGCTTTACAATAAAAAGAGCAAGGCATGCCAAACTTTTCATGTTCTCTTTTAAACTCACTATCTAGCAATTGTTACTGTCCTGCAGCAGAAACCCAGCCAAAGCTAATGACATTCTGACTGCTGAAGTTGGACCAAGTTCAGCCTCAAGCCCACTGTGATGTTCCCAGCACTCATGAGGATTGCTGATGGTGAAACAAAAGAGGGAGGGAAGATAATGTGTGATTCCAATTTGGTTTGCCACTGACTGCCACCTAAAACAGGGAGATGCTGATGGTGGGGGCAAGATGGGGAGAAAAGGGATGGGAGGAAAAACGACAGGAAGGGAGCAAATTAAGTTTCCTCCGGGGAATACCACGGTGTCAGAGAGGGAGACAGAGAAAAATGGGGAAGAAGGGAGGAAGGCTGGGCTTGCTGCCAGCTCAAAATACTGGTAATCCTTACACACACACATTTTGGATTCCTTGCTGGCTCTGGCCTGTCGATATGATGCCACTGTGATTCATGATAGCTAAACCTGCATCACTTTAGCTAATGATTCCCTATACACACCACTGCTCTTTGTGTGTGTATGTGTGTGTGTGTGTGTGTGTGTGTGTGTGTGTGTGTGTGTGCACGCACTTATGTGTGTGTTCTTTTTTTTAAAGCAAAGGAGATGAGAGGGCTGATGTGACTTCCACATCTATTTAAACAACCATTAACCAAACACACACACACACACAAAGAGTAATACCACACACTGAATGTATGCACATGCATAATGTAAGCTGCTGTGAGAGGAGATGGACAAGGGCCATAAAGTGTGACACTCCCATCCATAAACACAGTCCACATGACAGTCAGATGCATACTAAAGTACTGAATATGATACAAGTGCTTTGTGATTAATCTATATTGACTCAACCCATGAGTCTGATTGTGTGGCTTTCGTTGATACAGCTGAACAGATATAAGGAAGATAAAAGTTTTCTTGTAAGTGGCACATGTTGTAATAGTAAATCCTATTTTCCTGTCACAAAATGCCATTCCCCACCCACCCACTATGCATATACAAATAAAGTGTAGATTAATTACACTCAATGGCTCAGATGCAATTTCTGAACTGGCCAATCATATAGAGATTTAGCAGAAATATTTCAAGATTGAATGACAGTGATACTATAACTTTTACACAGTTGCAAGTATTTCTTAGTGTTATATTTGGAAAACCCAATGGAAACTTTCTGTATGCAAAACAGAACAGAAAGAACGGGCCATAAGTGAATAATACACTTTTATTCATTAACATCAAACTTAAGGCAATGTCATCAAATTCAGGCTTAGTATCTTATAAAACCTCTAGTTTAATAAAAAACAGCTATGTTTGTGTTCGTCTCTGTAGGACTGCAACATTTTTAAATACTAAAAAGATTGTGTATGTTGTAAGCTATGATAGGATGTTAATTGCTTCGTTAGAATAAGACAACTGCATGGAAGAATCTGCGTTTGTCGTGACTACTGGTAACAACTTCATAATAAGACTGTGTGCCCTTGGCCACCAGCCTGAAGCAAACTTCGCAAAAAACTTTCTGAGATCATTGGCCAAAGAGCACAGTTCCTAAATTCACAATTCTTACAGAGACATATCGCATGCAAAACAAAATCTTCTATTCCAGGGCCAAGAGTGGTGTGTATTCTTAAGAAAGGATACATGTGCTCATTTCAATAGATAATCCACTGTTAGAAAACTCTAAGGACTGTGGATTAGAGCTGCCAGTAACATTTGAACCAGGGCCACCACAGGCATTAATAAACTCAACATGAATTGTCCAGGATTTTTATGTATTATTCCTTTTATTCACACACTAATCAGAGTCCTGAAAGCCAACATGTTTGCAGTTGCCAACAACATTCTCCAAACACAAGCACCCTCAAAGTTAAACCAGCATCTGACGTTTTTATTTCAGTTACAATAAATGCATAATCCAGCACACTTAGGCTCAAAAGGCATGTCTAGATTCGTACACATCAGTCACGCCAGTCATTTAGTCATGCCTTGCTTTCTGTAGATTAACACATTCTATATGAAATATCCGTGTGATGTTCCTCATTTATATTCAGTGTAAGGAACCAGGGTCAAGGTCCATTTTCCACTTGGGATCTACAAAATTTGAGGGTAATTGCAGTCAGTTTAAGATGTATAACACAGAAGAGCACACAGAATGTACACAGACGGTGACCTCTGAGTCCAAACTTGTCTGTTTGCAGACGGTTGGGTAGTAGGATGAAATAAAGAGTATTATGAATAGCTTAGTGGTGTTGGGCTCGATTATCAGGCAAAGAACAGTGTGCACACACATACACACAAATGCAGATATATAACTACAAGCACACCGACACTGGGTGATGAGCATGCATCCACATACTCACACACACACACACACACACACACACACAAACACACACTTGGTCTCTCACACACACAGAGTATTTTGCTGTGAGTAGCAGGATTTGTGTCATAAATGTAATTACTGCTGTCCAACTGTAAGATGATAGAATTAAGCTGCTTTTAAAGAGAGAGAGAGAGAGAGAGAGAGAGAGAGAGAGAGAGAGAGAGAGAGAGGACGACAAGCAAGACAAGAGTAACAAAGTGGTTTGAGGGAGAGGATACAAGAGTGGGGGGTTGGCAGAGACACTGTGAGAGGATGCTATAGAAAGACAAAACAAAAAGACTGAGTCTGGGAATGGAAGAGCGAGGATGGGAGTGACAACGAAAGAGAGAGAGAGAGTAGGAGAGAAGAAAGCACGAAAAAAAAAAAAAATTAAAACACAAAACACAAAGAGACAGAACGCCAAGCTATCCCAAGGCTATTTTGTTGGCAGAAAGGCAATGGGCTACTTTCAAAGTCAAAATTACACCAAGGAGCGGCTTAGCAGCAAGCTGCAGCTACAAAGCCAGCAGCACCAACTTCTAGTGCACCAAATCACACTTTAGGAGCTCTCATAAGGAGATGCAACGTAATGTCTGCTTTCTATCTCCACATTATACACACCCAGACAGAATTAATCTTCTCTCACTGCTCTGTCAGTGGAAGTTCCCCTGTGTTCCAACCCACAGAAAAAACGCAACATCACAACTGAAAGACATGATCCAACCCAGTTGCTATAGCATGATACACTATGCAAAAACAGCATTGTGAAACCATTCTTTTTATGCAATCAGTGACTGTTTTGAAGGAACATATACAGTGTTACATAATTATAATATATCTTGACAGCCATGACATAGCAGTGTCGACAATCAAAATTGTATTGTTGTCTATGTATTTATATAATATGTGTCTGAGCACTGAGGGGTAAGGTGTGTGCACTGGTGTGTGTATCTGCTATGAGATATCCTCAGCTGTGGAGGGAAGATTGTTCCTGAAAGCAACAGTTTCTTACATATTATATGTGTGTGTTATGTAGTTTAATCTCCCAGCAGGTGAAATGAGGTTTTGCTATCCCATGGGGCTCCATAATAATTGAGCAGTCTGTGGGGGCAGCTGTAGCTTAGGAGGTAGAGCGGGTCGACCACTATTCAGAAGGTTGCCGTTTCCATCCCCGGTTCCTCCTGCTGCATGTTGAAGTGTCATTCAGCAAGATACTCAACCCCAAACTGCTCCAGATGAATGTGTATGAATGTTAGTTTCTGTTTGTGATGGGTCATATATCACTGTATGAATATGGGTGAAGGTGGCGTGTAGTGTAAAAGCGTTTTGAGTGGCCGGAAGACAAGAAAGGCACAATACAAGTACAGCCCATTTACCATAAAGCATGTGACATCAGCCTCATGTCAGTATTTACTGGTTCCCACTGAGTGTAATGTATTGAACAGCAATAACTTAAAATAGCTGTTTGCATCAGTGTCCACAGTGTTTTATACCAGTGCTAAAGTACATGTAGTGTCCTGTAGTTTGAGATGTGGACTAGAGTTACTAGAGACAGCAACTTTCTTGCACACAAACAAGCATACACACTCTTCCACAAACGAAAATACAAAATGTATCCAAAATGAATCCATCACTGGGAATGTAACTGATTAGTCCAGGACAGAAACAAATGGCCTCCCCCTCTCTCTCAAGCATCATACCATATACAGTACAGTACATGTCAGTGATCAGTGTGTAGAGCCTAATAGAGACGAATGGCTGTACCAGCAAGAAACGACAGCACTGACCATCTCCTGATTACTGCTCACCTTTATTGGCTTACTGTGGGAGATGGAGAGGGGTCAAAGGGCATTCAATATCCAGAGAGGCAGCCAAGAGTATACACAAAAAGACAATGAAACGTCAGTGTGTGCTAAACACATCAGACAGAGGCATATACCTTGCAAAAAAAAGGGGGAAAAAAACAAGCAAAAGGCATTCAAGATCAAGCGCACACACCTGCACACATGAACGCAAAAAGTGAAGCATAATAGTATGTAGTAGTATAAATGATGGAGAAGCAGTGACTGCTTAGTTCAGCTGTTTGAATTGTGTGTCTAAGAACAACGGTAAAGAGCTAACGTGTGGTGGCATCGAGCAGCATTTGCACACATGCACACGCAGGCTAACACAAAGATGTACTGCTCTCCCTGTAACAAATTAATCCATCAATCCACATCAGTCTAACAAAGTGGCTTTCAGGTTAAATCTACTGCAAAGACTGAAAGAGCCAGAGAGAGCAGGAAACAAAGACAAAAAGGGGGGAAAAAATAAAATGAGAGAGAGAGAGATGAGAGAAATGAAGAGACAATTACAGAGAGGGATATAGGGAGATGCAGCTCTCTAAAGATGCAGTTTTGGCAGAGTCTTGTCAGTGTGTGACTGTCGTAGTCAAAGTCAAAGTTCCACTAGGGAGAGATTCAGACAATGGCCTGCACCAGTCTCCCTCAGCATCACACTGGCCCCCTGACACACACACACACAAACAGACGCACACGTTTTCAGAGAGATGTTGCCCGTTCTAAGCTCCTCTGCCTGTTTGTCAGCCTCTAAGCCTGAATGGCGTTGGCAAGAAAGAGAGTGAGATAGAGTGACCGAGAGAGCCGGTGGTGACTGGAGGAACCCAAATAAGGCAATTCAAAGATATTGAAACAGAAAACTACAACAAAAACATACAAGCATTTTGAGTTTTTTTACGAGATTACTGCGTGAAAACTTTGACTTGTATCTGTGCATGGGAATGTGTCCTCATAAGAATAGACAAATGAGAATAATTCCACAAAATGAGACAATTTTTGCAGTCATCGCTTTGTTAAGAAGTACCTGTGTTTGTGACAATTAAACACTCACGCACACATTTAAGAACCATTTTTAAGAAGTCCATAACTAAAGACATTTACACACGGATCACCACTTTCTCCCTTTCCCTGACAAGCTTTTCATCATTCCTGTGGATATTTGTTGCTCACCATTTATTTTCTCAAGGAAATATCTCTAATACAGTGATTCTGGGACACACACACACAGCTCCAGGCTGTCCCCATCACCAAAGGAAAACACAGTGAAAGAAACACAGCTGCAACCGATTGTTTTCCGTCCCGTCAGCAGTATGTGTTCGACTGCACTGTCCAATTTAAAGAGGTTTGAGGAGAGAGTCTACATATGGACTATTTTTGCATTTTCACGACATGTCTGTATAGCTGTATATGACAGTGACATGAATGATATTCAACCATAATTTACTTTGAAGCATCCCTTCTGTCACTGGAAGTGTATTCCATGCCTTTCCTCTCCCACAGCTGATTTGATTTATTATTGGAATGATTGAGGTCCCATTTCTCTGTGCCACCACAAAGACGTCAGGCATGTCTGACCACAAAGCCCAACACACACAAACACACACACTCGTGGTTTTCTTATTCTGTGCTAATATTTATAATAACAGAATGCTGAATTGAGGACTTTTTGACATGTTTGTTAATGACAAGTATTTTTTTTTTATTTACTGAAGGGAGTTTCAGAATTCACTCAGCATCAGCCTCTACACACGGCGAAAGCATTTAGTCGCAAAAACACAGTCACACACACCCACTCACTTTTGGGGAAGGTTTCCACACATGCATACACCCACTTTGTAATACGGTCCCCCAGTTCCGTCACTTTGCATCTTAGATTCTGCAAAATTATAATATAATATGAAATCTTCCGAGGTTCACATTTTCCACAGGATGATGGAGACTTTCCATTACCATAACATTACCATAACGGTAATAGTTTCATATGTGTGCGTGTGTGTGTGCGTGTGTGTGCGTGTGTGTGTGTGTGCGCGCGTGCGTGTGTGTGTGTACTTGTGGTGCCCAGTGGTTTCTTGGGGTGTGGAGGGAAAGACCATTGCTGGAAGCGAAAACAGCATTCCCAGAAGTCATTGTCTTTAAAACTCCTCACTTCCCAGGACCCGACCCCACCCCACAACCCCCCCACAACCCCCCCCAAGTCCATGCAGCTGTCTGACATCTCGGCACAGGGTTGTTGGAAGCATTTCAGTTATAAAAAATACATTACAGCAAAGGAAAGTGGGTTGGAAAAAACGGTTACGCTTGCCAGGCACACACTCTCTTTTACAGCTCTCTGGGCTCTGTGGCATTATAAAACAGGAGACACGTTGACAAGCAACAGGTATAGTGAATGTGTAAATAGGCTTGAGTAAAAAAGTAAAATAAGAAAATGAAACCTGCAAGTAAAACATGGGATATAAAAGATAGAAACTTTACCGGACATTCATCGGGCCTATTACTGGGGAAAACAGAGCTAAAAACGTTGGAAACTATGGTCAGATTTGCACACTAAAAATAATCAGTTTTCATTTGGCAACTTTCATATATCACCAAAATTCAGGTCAATTCAGATTCAGTGATAACAGATAAGGCAAGAGTAAAGAAAATGACTCAGCTACACTTGCTGAAATTGCCATGTTGTCTGTCCCTGACCAAGATTTCAGTCAATAAAAAAGAAAAGTTTTAGGACAGGGTAAACCTTATAAACTATTTTTGTTCTGCAGCATATGTTCTAGATGGGTGTATCAAAAAAGCTGAAGCCGACTGAGCAACACAATAAAGGAGAGCAAACTGAAGAAAATACAATCATGTACCAAATTTGCCCTGCATTCCTCCTTTACAAGGTTGCATTACCAAGACTTCCAGGGGCCCTGAAACTCCAGGTGTGTCACTTTAGTTATTTTTGGTTATTTGAGTAATCATACATTTGTTTGGGAATTTGCACCACCACTCATCTTTTAGAAGGTTCCTCTATCAAAATCTATTTTTTAGTATGAACTTTATATATTGTATTTGCTCACTTGTTGGAATTTCCTAAATAAAGTTGTGCCTGCAGGGTTGATAGGAGCCAAAAAGCAAATACTTGGCCCAGGGTCGCCCTAACAGGTTCATTTGGCCATGCCCCATACCTTAGTTGTACTTTCTAACCCAAATTATCAGCTGTATTTACCAAGCTTGCTCTATGTCATTCACTCAGTTCTGTGAATGAGAGAAGTACACTGGAAAACAAAGGAAGTACTTGACAATGAGATGGATTCCATTTTACATCTGTAAGCAATTCAGTTATTCAAGGTCTTTCCATTTTACAGTCTTCTGACAGGGAACAGGGCCATGTAAATGTCGTCATAGTTAATAAAAGCTGACAACATCAGATGTTCAGACTCAGTTTGCTGACAATCAAAAGCCTTGCTCTGGAAACCTACAGCAAATACGCAACCAGAGTCTATGGCAGTAGAGTTGTACAGTATCTCTGTTCTGTTTATTTTTTTTCCACAAAGCTTTTCCTCTCCATGTTTACCATTTCAATCCCCCTGAAGTAATCCTATTTTGCTGTACAAGATGCACCTCCCCTTCAGTATATCTTGTACAGAACACATTTAAGCACCATCCCAAGTTCTGGCTCATATTGCATACTCTCTGGACTACAGGTGCACTTAAGCTTCAAATCCAAGATGAGAAACTAAAAAGTAAAACGGGAAAAAATATATTTTCTCCATCTATTCAGCTGTTAGAAGAAGAAGAAGAAGAAGAAGGTTTTTTTTTTGTTTTATTAGGGTTTCACTCTAATAAAGTAAATGTTAAAACTCTGCCTTACATTCTTTCCGTATCTTGTCATTTATGCTCCTGATATTGCCTTGCTTGCTCGCTTTATAATCATTATGGACTCAGTACATAAAAGTCAATACCACCATGTATAACACGAAGGCAAAGCAGAATGTGGAAAAAGGCTGGACTGATTGACAACTATAAAGTGTCAGACAGCAAGACAGACACACATATAGCAGAATGAAGTAGAGTGCTCTTACACTCAAGTAGCTACAAATGAAATGAGGTAGACCTCAAGGCAAAGCAAAAAAGAAAAGTTTGACATTAAACTTTCAAAAAGAAGTGTGTGCAGGCTACTAAGGTGAGAGGTTTTGAAGCACTGCTGTGTCCTCTCTCATTCTATCTCTTTCTCTCTATACCCTTAAGAACAAGCTCATCTATGCGTATCTTTAACAAGTGGTCATAGTCTCGCCCCTTCTCTTCTCCCTCCAGTCCTTCTGCAAATCTTACTTTCATCTGCACTTCTAACAAATCAATGAGGTATTTCTAGAGGGAGTTAGAGAGTAGCCAAGTATATAGGAGACAGAGGATGCAAGAGGAAAAGTGAAGTGGCACGAAAATGCAACTGGATGAGAGGGAAGAAAAAAAAAAAAAGAGGGAGCACACTTTATATAAACTTCAAACCTAGTGATGATCACTCACAGAACAAAACTATACATCATCAATATCTTTAAAACTCTAGAATATAAATGCGTTCTTTGGTTGTGTTTCTTATATTTCTATATTCGTCTGCTTCGTCTCTTCTTCCTTTGCTACTTTTCTTGCCGTTTTTGGTAACTTTCTTTTTTAAATCAGGCAGTAAATTGTAAAAGTGTGTGTTTCAGTGTCTCTGTTTTTACGACAGTGATGATATGCAGGTGTAGGTAGTCTGTTTTGGCCTTACCCGCAGTGTTTCCAACGGATCCGACGTTGCTCTCATCTGCCACTGTAACAAAAGAAACACATGTTAACATGTATGCACTCACACACTTTCCATTGCTGTATTCCCTCGACTTCTGCATTTTTAATTTGGTTTTCCAAAAGTAAAACTGCTGTCCACATGTTCCTCATCTCTAAAAACCGAAAAACCTGTTGTAATGTTTTTGCATTTCTCCTCCCTCTCCCATCTTCTCAGCCTCTCCGTCTCTCTCTATCAGTCTCTATTATTCTGTCTGTCTTGTTTTACAAGATGGCGGAGTAGCTGCTCTTTTTTTCCTGTGATGTTATGTCAGCTTCACAGCTACTGAAGTCATTTTCCTTCCTCTCTTCTCTCTCACTTCATTTGTCATTCACCCTCCCTTCTCTCCTTAAGGCTCTTATCCCCTTTCTCTCTTGTCGCCACTACCGCTCAAATCTACCCCCTTCACCTTCTGCCCTTTGCCCTCACTTCTCTTCTCAATGTTTTCATTTTTTCTTCAGTTACACTCATTCCATCCAGCAGTGTTCTCCTCCCTCTTTCCATCCTTTGATCACCATTCTCTCCATCACTGCTCCTTGTTAATCCTACTTTCACTTTTTACCTCTCCCCCAGTCTTTCTTTTGTATTTTCTCCCTCCTTCATAAAGCCACAAAGCAGGCCAAAGCCAACAAGGAACACATTAACTGGTAGCACTCAAACACACACACACACACACACACACACACACACACACACACACACACACACACTCAGACACACAAACAAAAACCAAGCAGTAACATGGCTTCTCCCAGCAAATACTTTTCTAATGAAAACCAAGCCTAAAGCGTAATTCTAGCTGTGTGTGTGTGTGTGTCTGACGGCATCTGTCTGCGGTGAATCAACATGACTGCTTCAGCAGCCTCACAGTTTGTGGATCACTGTGTGCACGTGTGTATGCCTACTTCAGCAGATCTGTAGATGCCACGTGTGCGACACACACAGAGGCGTCTTATTAGGGAAGGGGTCTCAGAAAGGTACACACACACACACACACACACACACACACACACACACACACACACACACACACACACACACACACACACACATTAAGGCTGTCACTTAGGGACCGACAGAGGTGAAGGCAGAAAAAGAGAGAAAGAGCCAAAGATGGAGAGAGTAAGAAGGACATTTGGAACCAATCTTAAAATTAAGCTTAAGTTTTTAATTGGGCTGGGTCGGAAAATGAAATCAGGACAAATTAATTAAAAATGAAATTATGTAACTGACCCATGAATGAAATGCTGAGAATGCTGTCTGTCCCTCCATCTCGTTTTTTTTTTCCACACAAACACAACTGCCAAAATACAACATGGTCTCATACTCTATTACTTTTTTTTTTTTTTAGTTCTCACAATGCACAAAACACTTTTGTGAGAGTGATTAAAATGATGACATGCAGTAATTATACACTATTATTACACTGAATAGTGGAAGGTTTGAAAACAATAACAAAGAGATTTCCTGTTTAGCTTAAGAAGGCAAACAATTATAAAGGACAAATATAGTTGTTTCCATGACAATGTCCCAAGAGATAATAGTGGTTACATTAATAGATGTATCCTGTCCTCATTTAAGAGGTTCTGTGGCAGTCTTTTCCAGCCTCAACTAGCTACCCAGTCAGAGGTAAGACAACACAAGCACGATGTTTGATGACGTGTCGTCCGAGGTGGTTGCGTAGCCTAAACTATGTGATATCACCTGATTTTGAACATTTTTATAAGCATTTCAGTGCACCTTTAGAGGAATTCTGCCACCAATCTGCGCCTCTCTGACTTTACATTTTGCATCCCAGAATAATGGCAAATGAAATGGGTGGTACAGACGATAATTATACCATTATGGTAGCTAGCTAGCTGGTGGCTAAAATAATAATAATAAACTCAAAAACCACACATTTCATGTCTACATCATTAAAGCTGATATGGTTTTGAAAGACTATATTTACATACAGTACTAATGAGCAAAACCTGATTTCCATAAAGTTATGCAAAGGCAAGAAGGCTGACAAAGAAAATATTTGCTAATTGATGCTCAAGTTAGCTGACTTGTTTAGCTCATTAGTAGTGGTTTTAGTTAGTAATGATTAGTTAATATTTTGTGCTGATTATAGCAGGATTTCAGAAGGTTCCTGTTATTGGTGTACTATACATTTGTTTTCCTTAACATTCTCCCTGTTCTGTGACAACTTGAACAATACACAATGTTTAAGACCCTCAGAGAGATTTCCAGGATTAAAAATAAAATTAGCTTTGTGTACTTTCTTTCTTTCGGGTCTGAAATTGTGTCACCGGCTGTAGTATTCTTGTCTTGTTTGTTATCTGTGAGCAAGCTGTTCTCCTGAACTTTACAGAGACAGAGGGCATGTTGGGGAAAAAGAAAAAACGGGGATCTAACAGGATTTCTGGCTAGTCTACAGGGATATCATTTATCCCCAAAGATGTAAGTTCTTCCCCTTTACACCATTTCCAGATATAAAACAGCATCTTAATCTCAGCTAAATCCTGTTCCCCTACTGGCAGTAGAGGCAAAAAAGACAGACATGTTTGTTAATAAGCTGTTACTACCGCTTGATAGTTTGGCAATGAAATCACACTATGACATTCGAGCAATAATGAATTGTTTGTCACAACATTCAGTGAAGATCGAGTGTAAAAATACAAAGGAGGTAATGTACGTACAGACTATACCATCAGTCTGTTATTCATGTAGAAATTGATGTCTGTGCTATTGAAATAGTCTCCTGCTCCTTTGTGTCATTTTCTCTGTCTCTCTCTCTCACACACACACACACACACACACACACACACACACACACACACACACACACACACACACACACACACACACACACACACACACACTAAGGCTGGCAGTGGAGCCAGCTTGAGGAGGAGGACTGAGGGAAGTGACATTTGAAACAATAAGCTTTTGTTGTGCTACACCATCCACTGTCATATTACACAGATGTATGCATGAGCACAGACATTAACTACACACATGCACATATTTCTAAAGCAGATTTTTTTTTTATCAGTGAAATGTCACCGAAGCCTCGCGTCAAAATATCAGTAATCAGAGAGCAACAGGTGACAAAGCTGATGTGGAAAGACAATAGTGACTGCAGAAGTAGTAGTAGTAGTAGTAGTAGTAGTAGTAGTAGTTCTCTCTTTTTTCTTGCATCAATAAAAGCCCATGATAAAGATGAATTGTGGGTCAAATTGTGACCCATTCTAATTTTCTTTGTCAGATATTTATTACAAATTAATTAGAGTGAAAAGGAGGGAGTTGTGTAACCTTATATTTATACAAGTGTCACAGCTTGTCTTTGCTACAGTAAGATCAGAGTGTTCTCCAGCCACTGGGACTGTGGTAGTCACAGAGAAAAACACTGCAAGGCAAAGAGGCAATCAACTGTCTCTCCACTTCCTCCTGCTGCTTCAATCTCTGTGTTAATGTATATTTCCTCTCTGTCACCTGTCATCTATTCCCTTCTTATTCTGCCATACGAATCTTCTTTCTGTAAGTTTGTTCTTTTGATATCAATCGAGCAGATGGGTAAAATAATTGAGTTATGTTTTAAATATTACCACAATTCTTGATTCTTGATGACACTATGACACTTACGTGCTTTCATGCAAACAGTCGGGGAAGCAATCGGAGACGTGGATGTTATTCTGATATCCACACCAGATAAACACACCAAACCATGTCTGGATGATCCATCAGATAACATATTTTTCCACCCAAGTAAGCACAGAGAACACAACCACACAAACAAACACACACACACACACTGCAGAAATCATGCAACAGGCATAAATGGTTCCCCACCATTACACATGTAGCTGTGAGTATGTGTGTTTTAAGGTATGCAGTGCATGTCTGCAGAGGTGTCATGCCTGCACGTGGCTTTGAGGGGCATGCCGTTGGTGCAGCAGCCATGCATCAGCAGGAATATTCAAATTTGCTGTGATGGAAAGATGCATGCGGCCACCATGCAGAGCATATAAACAGTAAAAATCTCCCCACCAGTGGGCTGCTGGTTCTGAGTCGTACCAAGGTCCATGCTCTTGGAGGCTTTAACATGCTGGAACTGCCGCTGGTTCTGGCCCTGGGTAGGAGCCTGGGGCTGAGCTGGGCTAGAGGTGTGAGAGTTTTCCCTGGAACACATTGATTAGACAGTCACTAATGTTGTTGATACTGGCTTACAGTCTTAAAACAGTGAATGACAAAATATTTGACAGATATGATAAATCATTTTGGAAAACATTAATTTACCTTTAAACAGAACTTTTGAAAATAAATACCTAGACTAAACTAGACTAATAATATTTCCAACATATTCTCCTCAACAACTTATGCATACTGTATGTGTGTAGAACAATTAGTAAAGAAGATGGTGTTGATGAAAAGAGTGATAAACAAGAAAACATTGCTCCAGCTGACTAAATGACATGATAAAGAGGAAAATGTTTGTTTTAGTTTAATTATGTATTATGTATTTTTATTCTCATTGCTTTATTATTTAACACTACTGTTTCAACTTGTATAATTTGTAGGAAGCACTCTGTATGCCGACTTTGTAAGAAAACATACATCACCACATACCTTTCCTGTAGATAGGAGTGTTGGGTAGAGTTACTGAACTCTGTTTCATGTCCATACAGCTCCCCGTCCTCTTCTTCATCCATGTGAGAATAACTACCATTGGTCACTGAAAAGCAAAATAAATACAAGTTGGCATTGAGGATGTGAGTAGTGGAATAATGATGCAGCAAATCAGAGAGATTTTTAATACTCATGGTTGTTTCTGCAGTCCAGTAAATGTGATTTGCTTTTGGCTACAATATATACCAATACTTTACTAATCCTGCCCTTACTACACCAAAATACAGTTCAGTACACTTTATCTAGTGTGAGTGTGTTAATAGGTGACTCTTGCTTTTCTGGTGGTCAGGAGAACTGCTCTGTATTCGCTCCTCATTAACTCTGTGCTTTCTACAGAAAACGAAGCACAGCTTTACATCTGTTTACTGTATCACAGCAAAGAGTGAACACAAAGCCAAAAAAGTCAGCAGTTGGTAATAATTTGCTGTCTTTCTGGTGTGTAACTGTAACTGACCTGGAAACAGTGCCAGCCAACTAAAATTCTGATGAACAAACTTGGCGCAAGGGGGCTAAACAAACGTCTGCTCATGAGCGTGAGTTTATGTTTATGAGGATATCCTGATTATCTTCCCCCCAACATGTAAAAAACAGTCTATATTGGTGTCCAATGAAAATGCTATCACTTGAAACTGACCCCAGCTGACATGCTTTGTGAAACCACCTTTGAAGCCTGCGGGAGGTGATTATTTCATACTCACAAATGGTTGGAGGAGCATTTAACAAAACAGACACCTACGCCACACATGTTAAAAAACAGTGGGTTAAAACTAAAGCTTTACTGACAAAAGGTCCTGAGAATAAAGACTGGAGTGGGTGAAAAACAAAAGAAAGATGGAGTAAGATGGAGAGAAAGATAAGCAGCTGGATGAGGAAAAATAAAAAGGGAAACAAAGAGGATGAAAACCACACAGCAAAAGCAGCTGCTCTACATCTACAGCATTTTGCTGCAGATGTAGCTCAGTGATATGGCTGTGTCTGATGATAAACGAGTTTATGACAACTTGATACACAGACGCACAATCCACCCAAGCACAATTTACATACAGTCATCACTTCTCAGAGTGCAAAGCTGCCACACAACACATGCTGGGATTATTGCACAATCTTCACTGTGTGTCCTTTATGTGCTTGCACCCGCACATGTGACTGAAAGTAGAGATGCTGGAGCTAGAGAGGAAAACAGCAGCGTCTGAAGATATCACATCCTCTCATCTCTCTCGCTCTCTCTCTCTCTCTCTCTCTCTCTCTCTCTCTCTACACTAATCACCTGCTTTATTTTTCTTCTGGTCCCATTCTTGCAATCTGATATTTTGGCTGTTATTTATCTCTCCTTTCAGATCTCCCATAAATCATTTAATCTCCCACTCAGTTTTCTGTCTTTTTTTTTTCTAAACTTCCTCCCTCCTCCTCACTGCTAGCACCTTAATCAGCTGAACTGTCAAAAACCCATTCTTCTTTCACCTCACACACTCTCTCACACACACACACACACACACACACACACACAAAGCTGTTCTCACTGACTCCCACCCTTTGAAGTCAAACAGGCATTTGCTGTGTGGATGACAGATCAATAGCAGTTTGCTCCAATAGCAGATATATGAATCCACTTCTTTTGCACTCAACTTTTTCTTCCTTCCGTCCATATTTGTCTACAACATGTCTGTGTAATCATCTCTCTCCCTCTCTATTACCCCACATCTCTTCCTTTCACCTTCCTCTCTGAGGGGGAAGCAGCATGTCAACAATTTTACACACGAATCCAATGACTTATGACAAATCCCTTTGCCTTTTTTTTTTTTTTTTTTTAACCACCGGTAGTTTGGCCATAAAGGCACAGAGCTAAGCCTGGTGATCCCAGCTGCCTCAAAAGGTTCTAATCTTACATACAATCCAAGAATGATGACTATTAATTTTCATTTTGTAGAATGTATTCTTATCTTATCTAAAATTACAACAATTTTACTCAAGTTATGATGGTTTAACAATGACAGGATTTTTTTCTCCAAATTAAACATAATCTTTTAAATATCTTATAATAGCAACGTAAGAGTTTGTTACTGAACTTTCAGGAAGTTAGAGGACAGAAGACAGATTTAAAGAAAGAATGGTCAAATGGTCAAAGTTGATTCAGAGGCTGAGAACCCTAGAATGGGTCAAGCTCCAAAATCACTGGATCAAACATATCCCATGATGCAACTCGATCCTCAACTATGGCCCTTTAGAGAGCACAGACATCTACCCTCTTCCCCGTCTGCTGCTGTTGGAATTCACTGGCTGCAAAGATAAACAGACTACATGCAGGTAGTTTTTGTTTTAGCTCGTCCGTAACAATTTGCTATCAGCTAAACAAGCGTGGTGTTACTTCACTGTCTCCACTGTGCTCTATATCTGCTGCTCACAGTGTGTGTGTGTGTGTGTGTGTGTGTGTGCCTGTCTAGGAGCTGAGCCCTAGGACAGAGAGGCCAAGATAATTCTGCTGCATTTGTTTCGACAGTGATGTTTAAGGTGGCTTTTTATGTTTTGTTGTATGTTTAGTTACGGCAAACCATTCATTTCAATTGTGACACGTTCGTACAATGAATTCAGGTCATTCTGCCACAGGAAAGTGAGAAATTATTTTGGAACTGAAGTCTCAACATCCCGCTGTTTACTTGGACATGAAGTGTAGTTAGAGAGACACACCCACAAACTTAATAACCTTTACAGAGGTAATTACACTCTACCTGTTTGGTAAATGCCCATGCCTTTCAAACTGTACACCTTAAGTTTGTAACCCAGGTAATAAAATTCTTCATCATCAAGGGGAAGCTCCTCCAGAGCCACAGAAGACATCATACAACTGTATAAACAACTGTACAAACCAAGTATTACAAGCCATGAAACTTCAAAATATTACATACACTGTTGGGTTATCATATACTATAAGAACATTTTGGTTTTCCATCACAAAATTGCATAATACTGAAACTATAGTTATTTTAGTTTATCCCATCAAATAGATTAACTCTCTCTAGAGAGGTGGGGGGAGTGCAAAGACACAAAGTGCACAGAAGAGGAAAAAGTGAGAAAGAGGAAGAATCATGGTAGCAGACAGAATGAGATGCAGCAATGGATAAGAGATAAAGAGAAAGATCTATAAATGCAAAAATAACACATCTGCATAAATACATATGTAGAGAATCATTAAACTCAATTTATTCTTCTGCAAAAGCACCCATCGGTGCAGGGAGAAATTCCCTCATTTTCATTTGGACTTCAATGCCAAATAAAATGAATTCAGTATGTGAAATAGTTCATTAGGGGAGTAAAATACTGGCAAGTACACACATATCCGCACACAAATACAGACCAACCGATAACATCAGCACACGCAACAACTCGCAAAGCCTGAGAAACGTGCTTACTGTATACAGACACACACATCGACACACACTAATATGTGTATGTAAATGACACCATAGCTGAGGTGAATTTGAACAGCGAAGTGTATTCAAGGTCAGAGCTGTTTACCAGATTCAGTGCAAACACACAAAAACAACACTGATACTGGCCAACAATCCCTGAACCAACACACACACACACACACACACACACACACACACACACACACACACACACACACACACACACACACACACACACACACACAGCAGCCATTAACACATTTCTAAACAGGCACAGATATCATCCAGACACAAACACACACTTTTAAACAGATGGGCACAGATACAGCCTAACAGGGTAACACAAGCATGTATAAAGTCAGACAAGGATGCTCACGAACACACACAGAGATCACACACAAACAAGCACATACAGATAATATAGGGGTGGGAGCAGAGAGAGTTAGCGAGGAAGAGTGATATGAAGCAAAGAGAACTAAAATAACTCTTTATAGAAGGCCAAAAAAAACAAACAAACAGAACAACCTTGAGAAACATGAGAGAACAATAAAAGCGAGAGAGCTAGGGTGAGAAATGAAAGGGAAAATAGGGGCAGAGTAGTCTCTAATTAAGGCTGCGGTGTAGATGGCAATATGTGTTTTGTTTATGTTTGTTTTTAGTTTGTTTTATCTTGGAGACATTGTTTATTTTTTCAGGATTATTAAACTTATTCTGTGCTTTATTGGACTTATTGCAAATAATATGCCCACCTTTGATGCTGCTTCAATGGCAACAAATACAACTGAAACAAAATAATAGAAAAGTAAATCAAGTTCAGCTAAAATCCAGGCTGGAACAGGGTCAGAATAAACTGGAACACTGTTTTAGGAGGAAAAGTGCTCCAGCTGAGTTTTTGAAAATGGTATTATTGGAAAGAAAATGTTTCTGTGTAGCTATTCTACACTTTTAAGTGTGTGTATAGGGGGTGAAAAAATGTATCAGAAAGAAGCAATCAGTGGGGAGCGATTTAATAAAAGCAGGCAGAGTTCCCCCAGTAAATTCAGGTCATCTCTCTACCACTGCCTCGAATGGAAACAGCAGTGAAAGTAGAGGTAAAAGCATTTGGGTATACGTCAAGAGCAAACAGTCTTAATGGTCTAAATAGCTTTTACGTATATGGTGATTTGATTTTCATTTGATGGTAGCATTTCTCCAAAAGCCAGTATTAATCAAATCAGTGCTTGAAAATTGACTGTTTTTCTCAATATAAGAAAATAATGCTCAGTGTAAATTACCACATATTATTATTACCATTATATTATTGCACTATGGGTTTTTAATAAACATAAAAAACCAAGGGAGACTCTGCTTGATAGAAATGTTAATACTGTACTTTAATTACAAAATAGAACAGTATTGATGTGTTGTCTTGGTTTGAACTTGATTCCTCTCTGGGTCAATCGTTAGTCTGGATGGACACCAATTTGTTATATATATTGTTATTATAAATAAAAATTTATTTCTTAGTTTAAGGAATATAAATATGCTTTTCTTCAGTGTCAAATTAGCAATGTTTCCTGCTTTACTTCAGGAATATACTGTGAAGAATAAGTAAACAACCCCCATGAATGTGACCGAGAATTTGAGGAAACATTTAAATAATTGACAGTTTTTGGTAATTGGATGCTATGGAGACGTTACAGTCGCTATTTAAAAAAAACATCTCAACATATTTAAAATGTTTACAAAAGAGGCCTCAGGTTTCTTTTCTACAAGACAATGTTCTTCACCACAACTTTAGATATTGTGCTCAAACTAAATAAATAGAAATCATAAATTAGAAATAATATGTTGCTGTATGTAAATGTCGTATCTGTTAGCATGGGGACCAACCTCTGAAGAAAAATATCCACCCACCATTAAATGCATAGAGATTGTTGTTCACCATGGGAGGGTGAATGGGGCCGTTAGTCTGGCTGATCAATCCCGTCTGCCCGTTCACTGGGTTCCCCAGTCCTGACAGGCCAGAGGAGCTGTCAAATGAGCGATTGGGTGACACCCCGTGTTGGTCCTAAAACAGAGAGGAAACAATCCTATTAAACATTTTTAAAACACATTTCACAGACAGATGGACAGGATGGACAGATACTGGTTAGGGATTGCTAACTAAATTCCTTTTTTTTTTTAAGCTGGAGCAGCTACAATTGTGAAAGGGTAACATTATGTAACACTTGAAATTAAGTCTGAAACAAATACATATATAAAACACATATATATCTACTTTAATGGAAGCTTTCTATGTTTGTTTTATGTGAGTGTCTGGTATGTAGATTGCATTTAAATTGAGCGATGACCAGAGGAGTGAGTGAGGGCTTTGTAGTAGTCTATTCAAACACAATCAGATTTCAAGGAGACAGAATAAAGAGAGGAAGAGGGAGACACTCAAAATACAGTGGAGGATCAAGGTGAAAGAGGGGATCCTGTTTCCCATGGCCTGTAGGGTTGTAACCGTCTTTGACGCTGCCTCAGTTTTTTGTGTGTGTTTGGGGCAATGACAGTCACACTGACACCTATCCCCTCCTGGGATGGCCCTCTTGGGGCCCCTGTAATAGTCAAACAAAGCATTCATTCCAGTGTTGATGGGTGTCTTTGTGCGTGTATTATTACTTTAGGAATATAATTTGCATTTATTTGTCTTCTGTGCGTGTGTGTGTAGAAAACTGTAGGAATTCATTAACATGTATACATATGTATGACATTTTGGCTGTGTTGTTCAGTATACTTGTGTGTTTCTCCGTGTATCTCCCTGTCTGTATAGACTCAGCCCTCCACTCAAACAACAAAGAAGACATAAAAGTGCTTTGTGTATTATAAATCCTACTTGTCATCTTCCTCTTGACCTCCCACCTAGCACCAGCTCCTGTCCCTCGCCCCAGATTCTCCCCAGTCCCAACCAAGGACACATCACTCTTCAGTGTGTGAGAGGTCCTGTGGGCCCCCTCCCTTTCCTGGCTCTCTCCCAGTAAACGTCCCTTTAGCTTGTGTCATAGTGCAATGAGATTACTCACTAAAAACGAATACTACTTCAGATATCAAAAAAGAGGTTATTGAGGTATAAAAATATTGTCTTTTGATACAGTCAGACATATTTGGATCACTTCTGCACTATACTACTCCGTATAGATGCATACATTCATTACATTTGTTATAGTTTTCCTATGAAATTATGCATTATCAAAATAACTGATGAACCATAACAACTAAATAATTTTTACTACAATTACGATAAAGTAAAATAGTAAAACCTATAATAAACTATAAACCTAAACTATAAACCTAAATCTACAATCATGAAAAAAAGACAGGAAAAGAAGCGCATTAGCAAGACTTATTTTGTATTAAAGAAATTAAGATATAGAGACAACCACAGTGCCGATACACAGAAGAACAGCTTGAGATTATGTCCATGGAACCTGCGCAGGGCCATAATTATTTAGCTTGGAGATAGAGGGTGTTTGGACGGTTACTGAATGAAAAGAGCAGCTGGATAAAGTGAGAGATTAGAGAGAGCTGGCTGGAGATGAATACAGTAGGAAGAACTGAGTGAGAGAAAGAGCAAAGGACACAGACAAGAAAAAGAAGGAAAAAAAGATCAGAAGGGGAAAAAACGTAGAGTGGTCCACTTCTGTAATGTTAAAAGCATCAATACTGAAGCCCAAAAAAAGGCTTTTAAGGTACAGTCTCTTATCTATCTGCCTTTCTTTTTCATCCTTTCTTTTTCACTCTTAAGACAAAGAGGGAAACATGGATGCAACTCTTTGATGTTCCTAACAGCTTTCACCATCAAGCTATTGACAAGGGATGCCCTGAGCCTTGCAAGCCCAAGCACACTACCACTACATGCATCCATGCGCTCAGTATTATTAGGCCCACTTACCTAAAACTAATGCAGTTTAATACAACAGCCTTGCAATAAATCATCCTGGGTTATAATGTTTACTTTTCAGAGAGGTGTTGATTAAAATGTATCATCATTTTGAAGGCTCTATTTTGTGGTGCTACTGAACTGTACTGCGTTATACTGTGAGGTAGTGCTGATATTTTGCCCAACCCATTTATGTAAATGAAAGGGGACTACTGTAATTACCCATACACCTACATACTGGAATTTATGTTTGAGTTTTTCTTTGTGCACCATGCAACATGTATACTATATGTAGCTGTTTGCCCCCACTACCAGCAGGCCATGCAAAGGGCCATTCACACTCGAGCCAAAAACCAAGCTTTGTGTGCGCAAAGGTTTGTACCAACATACATAGCTGTGTAAAAAGGCATCAGCTGAAAAGCACCCGAGATGAAAAGCATCTTTTTTTTTTACTCATAAAGAAAGGAGATACAGCTGAGAGAAGAACACTCTATCTCACATACACATAGACACACACAAACACACACAATCTGAATAGCTGAAGTGTAAATGCTCTTTTTCTGGTAAGAGCAAGGAGACTAGTGTCAAGTATGTGAAGAATGGATGGTAGGGCTAAAAAGTCAGTATGTGTAGAAAGAGGAAGAGGCAATAGACAGCCGGAAAAAAAAGTCAGTAAGAGCCAAACGAGTGGATAGGAACAACAGAGCGAAGATAAAAGGAGCATGTATGTTTGTTGTCATGGCATGCATGTGCTCTATTTCTCACAGCAGGTGTCCTAATATACATTATGGGTTTCTCTGACAATACAAAATGACATTTAAGTTTATTGTGAATACCCTTAATGTAGTATATGTTTCAGCTTTATGTATCCATTAAAACCCAGCACACACACTCTTTTTGTTCATCCATACATTTACACATGTACACACCAGAAGAAGTACAGCCACTTGAGTCTATAATGAAGATAAAACACATAAAATAAACATGTTTCTCAAATTTCACTCAAAAACAAAATGCGTATTTTCTGACTGAGTGAGTTTTGGAACGTTGTGTGTAGTTGGGGATGTGTACTCTTGACTGACTGATGACTGATGGCAGTGTGCTTTGTTTGTTGCCCTTTTGTGTGTGTGTGTGTGTGTGTGTGTGTGTGTGTGTGTGTGTGTGTGTGTGTGTGTGTGTGTGTGTGTGTGTGTGTGTGTGTGTGTGTGTGTGCACCTTCAAAACCCTTAGCACCACTAGTTGGATCATCCCTCTTAAGTTTCCCTCATGTGACATAGAGCGGCGGAGCGTCTCCATGGCGACATGATTGGAGCATCCCCGCAAGGACTCTCCGTTCACTGCTACCAGCTGGTCATTGACACGCAGGCGCCCATCCTGTAAAACACACACACATGCACACACACACCAGCTGTATTAAAAACATTGTGTGTATTTTCAGTGCTACTGGATTGAACACCTACAAGTCTATGCATGAATGTCTTGATAAATTATGTAATCTTGTGTGCATGTATGTGTCCTTATGTAACTGATAGTAGGATGCTGAATGTTGTTATAGTCCAATCAAAGTGTTTTCTTTAATGCATTAATGATTCCTTATGCTCTCTTATGCTATCTCTTTTTGAACAGGACACATGCGACTGATGTCTATATTGGGACTAATCACTGAGCTATTGATAGGAAGGTTCTGTTTATACATGCACACACAGACACACACACACACACACACACACACACACACACCTTAAGCCTTCACTGAGCATCTCTCTGAAGTCAAACCAGCATAAATGCACAATACCAAAAACTTGACTGACACACACACACACACACACTTTCCTATGACTGTGCACTCCAGTCAACAAACACGTGCAAGCATCAGCTCCATCTGTTTGACTTCCCCCGGTGTGTTATTTACGATGCTTCTAGGACAGACCTTTTCTCCATCTATTCCTGTCTGTCTCTGCCCAGACGCTGTGTGTGTGTGTGTGTGTGTGTGTGTGTGTGTGTGTGTGTGTGTGTGTGTGTCTGTGTGTGTGCTTGTCTGTCCGTCTGTCTGCTGTCTATGACATGTCAAGTGTGTCCTGGTGAGTAAGAGGTCAAAGGGTAATAGAACAGGAGCACATGGCAGCAGAGAAGGAGAGACATCTGAGGTGCCCCCGACAACACTCCCCAGAAAACAGCCTCACAAATAATAAGTTCTGTTAGTTATAATTCACTTTCTTTTTATTAAAGAGGTGAACTCTTAAACTTGCAAGTGAAGCTTACGTCTCTTTCCAGATTTCCTAGAAAAATCTGTATTTTCTAGGACACAGTTTGTCTTTATTTGTTTTTGCTCATTTGGCGTGTATGAGAGTATTATGTCACCTTGTATGCAGCCCCTCCATGTATAATGGATTTGATAAAGATTCCCAGGTCCTCTCCAGTCTCCCTGGACTTGTTTCCTTTGAGGCTGATGCCGAGCCCTGCCGAGCCGCTGTCATTAAGCGGTACCTCAAACATAAGCTGTTCCTTCCCATTCTCAGAAACAAAGACCGGCACACGGGACACCTCGTCCTTCTAGAAGAGAGAGAGAGAGAGAGAGAGAGACGGAGTGAGAGAGAGTAATGGAAGCAGAAGTGGAGAGACATCGTTGAGGAAGAGAGAAAGGTGGGAACAGGGTGAGGGTGAGCAGACAGAGGTCACCTCATTGGGCTTGAATAGTCTCCAAAAGCTAAACTAAAAGCTTTTCCATTTGAGAGAAACCATCAGAAGGAGCTTTTCAGCTAAATTTCTCTATGAGTGAAAAAATTGCAGCCAGAGTCTATATTTGAAGAAAAAAGGGAAAAGAAAGAAGCCATTTGGACTGCCGGCTTTTATATACACATCTTTTTTTCTTCTCTCAGTTCAGCAATATCAATAAAATGACCTGTGCATTTTCAAGAGGTAATTGGAGGATACGGCAAACACGGAGAGCCAGAGAGACAAAAGTAGTGAGAGCAGAGGGAATATGGAAAGGAAAAGAAAAACTGTAAAACAGACTGAGAAACAAGAATGAAAGACTGACTGTATAGATAAAAATGACTATTATAAACCCAGAGGGATGGTGAAAAACACCGTATTATCAGCGAGGAGGTATGGCGGCAATGACTAGGTCTGAGACAGAGTGAGTGGGAAAAACACCAGAAACAAAGAAAGCAAGTGGATCCCGCCAGATGAAAGCGTGTGTTTGAAGCTTGTGTTAGCTCAGTGGGAGAGGTAGCATTGTAAAGGCCATTTATCAAAAAACACACTATTCCGTTTGGAATACAAAAAAAAAAAAAAAAAAAAAAACTCAGATAAACACTCATTTGCGAAACAATAGATTTCAACAATAAAATAATATTTCAGTCGCAAATACCATCTAGTTACTTACTATTAGATGAAGTTGATCAGAATAAACGAGGACTAACAAAAAGGAGTTTTGCATTAAAAAGAAATAATTTAAAAACATCACTGTTGTTAACAAGGATTTATCATAGTTCAGCTGTATTCCAAGAAAGAACGCTAAAATGTAGTAGTCGAATAGTTACTGCGCATGACGCAAAACTGCAACATCGCCGGTTCAGTTCCAGCCGGGGACCTTTGTTGCATGTCATTACAGTGAAGTTTAGGTGTGGTTAAAGTGATGTACGGTATGAGAAAGACTGGTCATGATTTACATGTGATGCACTAAAGGGTGTGCTGAGGACGGGTGCTGTTACACTGCATAGCATCCTGAGGTGTTTCCCTTGTATGTATGGTAGAAAGTTCATGTCTGTGTGCATGCGCCAAGCTTTGGTGTGTCTATGCATGAATTCAGTCTGCATGTGTGTATGTGTGTGTTTGCGTGGGTCAGCAGTGTCAGGTTTAGACAGTGTTTGTCTGTGGGGATTGTAGGTTTAACAGCGTTAAGCCGACACAAAGTCCTCTACTCTGCAGAAAACTGTTTTCCCCGCTGGAAAAACACCCCCCATTAGACTGACTGTCCAGACCTGATAGGAAGCTCCACGACCTTGGAAAGAACTTCAAAATACCCAGAAGAGAAATGTTAGCTACTTTCTGCACATAATTACATTGAGAATTTATTAGCCTCTGAGATTCTGTCCGAAGTAATGTTCATGATTTGGCAACTTCTCAGTTTTTCAGCCACCTCTACATTCTTTATTTATCCGATTTAACTTCCCCAGCTTTGTTAATTTATGATTTCTTTTTCTTGCACTCAGCACGGGACAGAGCCAATGCCAGAATGAATTTAGAGCAGAGGACGGGTGTTGTTATACTGCAAGAAAGTTTGAAGCAGCAGTTCTCAGCTTGGGGGTCAGGACCACCCACAGGGCTGGGAGATGTTTTATGGAATCTGACAAAAATATGCAAATGTATGTAAAGTTGTTTATCTGGGTGATGAATTCAATTTCCCTGTAAAACAATGAATAAGCACAGCCTCCGGGCTTCCTCCGATAATTTACCAGACAAACAAATAACCAATGAGTAAAAGAAATAACAAAAAAAATAATAATAATTTGGTGTCAAACCTGACTGTTCTGTGGGTTTTTACAGCCACGTGGATGTGCTTTTATTCAGTGGTTGCACTAAGAAAAAACACAAAATTAAACAAGGAGTCTCTTTTTCATTAAGTGAAATTGCTTTAAACACACACACACACACACACACACACACACACACACACAATAAAGTGGACATGGCCACAAAACTATTTTACGTGCATGCTGCAATTTCATGGAACATTTCTATTATCTCAGCCTCATTGCTATGATAGGTGGTCATATCTGTGTGTAATACTAAAACAATAAACAGTGGTGTGCGCTCATGTGTGTGTTTTCTGTTTGCTGCTATAAAAAAGGTGTTTGTATTTTTGCGACATAAACTCTATCAAATCCATCCAGTTATAGAAAAAGCCGTTTGCATAGATGAACCTCCTCATGCTGGTCATTTAACATTTAAATTGGTTTGCCGCGATGATAGATCAACAGGAGGACACGCTATTAAAAAGACAGCTCAGTGTCTGTCGGTGTGTGTGAATGAGTATGTGTGTCGGTTTTTATTCAACTGAGCGTGTGTGGGAGAAAGCTGGAAAGACACATTATGTTAAAAGGAGCTAGAGCAGTAAACTAAAACACACAAACAACAAATCGCCCTCAACTCACCCTGAAAGGCTGAGATGGCAGAGAGAGAAATGAAAAAAGACAAAACCGATAAAATGAGGGAGGAGATAAGAAGCATGATGATCATAATTTCACTGATTGTCACTGTATTATATGTGTACTTGTGTTTAAGGACACCTGCTTTCAACAACATGCTCTTTTAATGTGCTCGCAGATTCCCTTCTGCCCAGCCATGCAGAGGAACTGTGTGTGTGTGTGTGTGTGTGTGTGTGTGTAAAGCCCCATGTAGTGAAAATTACTGCCCAAGGATCCATTTTACAAGGCCAAACAACAATAGCCGCTGTGCTTAACTGTGGCAATAGGTGTGATAACACACACACACACGCAGACACATACACACAGACACCCAAATGGCTGAGGTAAGTACTCACAGGAAAGAAAAAACCCTTATGGGCTATGCTTTTGACTTATGAAAATAACTGTCCCATCACTGACCACTCAGGATGGGCCCCTGTTGTCCAATCCCCCACAGTCTCTTCTCCAACTACCTCCTAAAGGTCAGTGGAAAGACTCTAGAGGGAGACCCACAGACCACAATCTAGTGTGACAAGGGAGGATTCACAACACTACACACAGAGAGAGAAAGAGGATAAGGATATGCATACAAAAGTTGGAGAGAAGGAGGTGCCAACCACAGTGGTCACTAGGTCTAACACACAAATGGGTGACAAGTTAGAAAAAAAGCCTAAATGAATGAGTGGGGAAAGATAATAAATGTAGATGCTTTCATATAGGACATTAGGGGTTATTGAATGGTTTGATGAGAATGAAAATGATATGAATCAACTGAACACCTTTTAAAGAATGGAGTTTAAATTGTCACCTATCTGTAAATGTCCAATACCGTATGGGTGACCAGTGTCTGTATCTAGGGATGGAAAGAGCTTTTTTTCTTCTTTTTTTCAGAAAAGGAATTGGTGGACATAAATGTCTGTCGGGGAGCTCTACAGTGGGATACAGATATAGTACTGTATAGTCTGACTTATTGAAATCTACTTTTGTAGTAGAAGTGTAGCACTAATGCTTTCAGTGTACAATCTCCCCTGGAGCTGCATATTAGAGGTCTGTGTATGTAGAGCAAGCCAGCCTGCAGGTCTTGTGGAACCCACAGCAGATGTTGGCGGCACAGGGTTCGTTTTCCAAGGCTACAAGTGGTCACGTTGTAATATGGGGTCATGGTGTGCGCTGGGCAACCTTCTGTTCATGTGCCGACGCCCCCCACATGAACACCGAAATGCTTTTTGGCAACAGTTTTCAGATCATAGCTGTTGTTCTTCTACATGTCGAAACATTAAATGTAATCTTTCCGTCAGTCTGGACTGGAAATTATTTCCAGAAATCTTGATCAGAGATTTTATTTTTTTGGTAAAACCACATGCCCTTTCAAAGAAGAATTGACAAAAACATTTGACATGATAAAAGGTTTCTTATTTATGTGTGTGAAATTGATAGTTAGTGTTATACGGTTTACTAATCACCCTGAAATCCTGACTCTACACCAACATTTTAACTGATGTGGGTCTTTTTTTATTCACATAGCCATGGCAACATCAGATCTGTAATCTTTGAAAGTGTTCAGATCATACATTTTGTGCCAGTGAAGATTTAAACTATTATCTGTCTACTTTTTTATATCCGTCAGTGCTGACTTTTAGACATCTGTCTTATACCTCTTCAAACTGAAAATTGCCTTTTTTACACATCAGTTATTAAATAAAAGTAATATAAAGTGTTAATTAGTGGGCTTCAGAGGTGCTTTAGACATATTTGTCACCTCTTGACAATACCAGGCTAGCTGTTTCCATTCTTTGTGCTAAGCTAAGTTAGCCAGCTCATGGTGGTACTTTAACGTTTAGCTTTCAGGCATGAGAGTGGTATCAATCTTCTCATCTAACTTTTGGTAAGAAAACAAAAAAAGCATATTTACCAAAATGTCAAACTTTTGCTTTTGCTTGCTAATTTGGAACAGATTTAAGGAGATTCTTCTTCATCCATGCTTTGTTGTTCTCAACAAAACTGTTTCTGTTACTCTCAACAAAAGAAAGGTTTTGTTGGTACGAGTAAGAGCAACATCTTGCTATGACAATCCCGATGCTGATCCCCGGTGGTTTGAACCCACAACTACCACGCATGAGTGTGTGTGACACTCATGTGCCGAGGGCTTTAAGACACAGCAGCGACTTTAGATGATAGGCTCACGAAAGAGCTGATAAACCTTCAATAAACAGCGGAGAGATGTGAGATGAGACAGAGCCAGAGAGAGAGAGAAGAGAGACATGATACCCTTCTCGGCTGCTCTCCACTGGGATGATGGCAGCTCCTGCAGAGACGCCAAGCTGCCAAGGAGTTTGTGTGTGCGTGTGTGTGTGTATGCAT